AAAAAAAGTATTGGCGAGACCGTTCCACAATAACATGGCTATTTCCTCCTCCGATTGGGTTTACAATCTTTTCGAAGCTTACTGTTTGCTCTGGCTTTTCGCCAGTTCCAATGTTATCAGGCACTGGTCGAAGTTCGCAAGGTACTTGGCTCGATCTCCAATCCCAAGGCAATCAGCTAATGATACCCATTAAGGGTGTTCTGATTATTCTGTCCCAAATGACCTTTCCGGGCTGTGAACAACATGTTCTCGCTAGTTTATGCGTTACTGTCAAGTACTACTTGCCTTTTTCATAGACCCTTCCAAGATAGATCCGTTGGGTTAGGTAAGCAGGAAAGCTGAAAGCTTTAGGAGCTAAGCCCAATTGCCCTTCTTTGGCTCCGTATTCTGGTGTATTACGATCTCTTTCTATGGTTCTAAACAGGAAGCTATTGTGCGTCATGTTCCAAAAATTCTATTTGATATCAAAGATCGCCCCTCAGTTCTATTCGTTCGATGTAAAACAGCTATAATAATCGCCATCATTTCATCGCATTGTTTACACTTACACCGAGACCATATCCCCATTATTGTGTGTGTTTACGGACGTAATACTTCAATTTACGGATCATTTACTAAATCTCGTCATCGCAGGCGAGCATGCTCATATATTTCATGAGAGTTTTCTATTCATGCAGTGTTCCCACAGAGAAGAAAATTCAGCACGGCACGTTAATATGACAGAAATTGGTACTATTCTACTATTACACCCCCAAAAACTCAAAATTTTAATTCTCGATGAAACTTCGCCTATAGGGGTAATCCGATGCCCTGATAACGAATATGACNGTCATATTCGTTATCAGGGCATCGGATTACCCCTGTAGGCGAAGTTTCATCGAAAATTAAAATTTTGAGTTTCTGGGGATGTAATAGTAGAATAGTTCTGGGGGTGTAATAGTAGAATAGTACCCAGAAATTTACTGTGAATTAAAATGCATTCAATGCAGAACTTCTCAGACAAGTGATATTCTTAAACGCACAACTCTATTTGAATACACAAATCCTCCCCCGCACACATACGACGTATCGGAAAGGAACCCTGGACAAGGACGCTCTGCATCACGCACACTCGTTCGAGTCAGGACCCATAGCCAGTAGTACTGTAAGAAGTACTGTAAGACTGATACAGACTAACTGGTCGCACTAGATTTTCGTTCTTGTGTGTTTTCCTGGGCATTTGTTTTGATACCATAGTACAGAATTACTTTCCGTTGTCTTAACTCTCACTTTATTTAGTCTTGTGTGTCGATTCCATTCGTTGAGTGTCCGAAGACGATTTTTCAAAAAATGGACAGTTCAGAGTACCTGTTAACCTCGTGTCAAAATGTATCAACAATCCCCCCATATGTGGGAACCACGATTTGGACAACCGGGTATGAGCACTTTCACCCAATTCCCGGTTAAGGATTGTTGTGGTTGTAGTGAAATAACTGCAGTTTGAGGTGGGATTTCAGGTAGAAATGTCACCCAATAACCCACGATCTTTCCTAACATTATGGGCAGTCAGCCGCCCTTCCTTAGACTCACACTTCACCATAAGATTAGTCTTGCAGATTAAGTGCTACGAAGTAGCTCCCATAAGTCGATATGTGGCCTTGTTATGACGAGTTTTATGCTCTTACGGTGTAATACGTACGATGTAGTAAAATTTTGAAGCCTACAAACTCCACCCAGCGATGAGGTTCGTCATTCCAAACTGTATTTGCAGTTTGGAATGACGCGCCTTAATACTGGGCGGGATCAGTAGGCTCGAACCCTCGACTCCTCATTGACCAAAGTTACTTCCCGATTTATCATCTTCAGATTTTAATGGATCGTGAACTGCGTTTCCTAGTAGATGGTATCGTAATAGTCACGTCTGCAATATATGGCAAATAGGCATGCGGACGCCATTGACTTCCTCCTCAGATGAGCTTTGATGAAACCTAGGCTCAGCTCCCCAAGAAAAACGGGTTTTTTCTTAAATTTATTGGGTGCTTTATATCCTAGGCGGCTAAAATGTGGCAATTGGAGTTTGATCGATGTACCAGCTGCCTGAACCATGATCATTACCCGTATGGAGAGCAAGCGATTTCTGATCTCAATTATTGCCTGATGTTCTTTCGGTTGTGATTACTATGGCAACACTTAAGGTCGACAGGTTGAAGCTTTCTCACTCGCCGATGCTCATTGGCTATGAATTGTATTTGGATGTCAAAGGTTGAGCGATCGTTTTTACTCTTGAAAGAATAATGGAATCGATTTCCAGTGGTTAGATGAATGGTTTTGTAGGGATTCAACGTGACTCATTTCCTGTTGACGTGACCTCACTAAAACAACATCATTCTCTTATCATTTTGTGTTCTGTTCGGAGATAAGGAGCTTTCACATCAATTTCGGTCTTCGGGTAACCATTCGTCCTCTCATCCACCGATTGGGAGCTAAAACCGTCTTTCTTCCTATTGACTCCTTGCTGCCATTATTCTTCACGACTGTAATTACGTATGCGGGCATATATTCGTTCTACCTCTTTCTCACCGCCTCGAAATGGTTCGTAGTTCTAAGCATATTTTCCTTAACCTTTCGAATTCGCCTAGTTGTTGAATTTGGAAGTCCGTTCTGCCCCGAAAGTGAGAGAGGGTACATAGTTAGCGGCAGCGGAGTGTAAGCTTGTGGAGAGTTAAAAAGCACCGCAAAGGCGGTGCAGAGCATGTACATGCACAGCGGCTTCACTGTGCCTTCCACTATGCTTCTGGTCCATGCCTTCTGGAACATGAAAATGAAAAAGGGGAATCAGTGGGCCGGGTAGAATAGGTTTAAAATGTTACTTTTATTGCTATCACTTTACATTTTTAATGATGATCTCATGGTGAACTGACGGAACCTTTGGATCCTCAATCAGCTTTCCCGCTCTCCTTATCAATACGTATCTGAACCGCGTAGTCAATTTTCTATCTCCCAGATGCTGCTGCAGCTATGAAAACGTTGCGTTAAGTCTCTAGAATATCACTGTAAATGGGAATATCGAATTTTTCTAGGAGCCATTTTTCGCCCACATGTTTACGGAGAGTGAGATTTATGCCATGACCACAACTGCCCTTTAATTCACCCGATATTGTTCGCCATTGCTCATTGTACGCTTTCGATAAAGCACGCCGATGGAAAGCGTACAGTGAGCTTTTTCGTGCGTACTGTTCTCATCTGTCACCAATATTTCAGCTCTGTCGCTTGGTGTCCCCAACGACTGCCTTTGACTGTTAACCGTGTTTATTGCTTTTGCTAACCTCCGCTCATTGATAACTTTTGGGTAGCATCCCCGGCACAGCCGTGGCCTCGAAATACTTAGGATCGATACCGGTGACTCCTGACTCTCAAGATTTTCAACTGCAACAGTAACCTTTTCCGTTCCTAATTTACCGATGGGCCTATTAGAAGTGAATTTCTTCGTGTACACCCCACCCACTTCAGCTAAACTCTACCCTAGTGCCTTCATAGGCAAATGCCCAACAATTCTGGGTCAGCTTGTTTGTGGATTGGTTTATTATTTCTGTCTTTCTTAATGCATCACGAGCATCAAGCACCACTTATTCGTCACCTTGTTTAGCTGTTGGTGGACTCCTGGGCAGAAGCTGTCATAAAGATTATCCCAAGCTAGATCGCACTGTAGGGATTTCACGAGATGTCCGCCTGCTCTCGAGTCCCATGCATGTAGGCACAGTCCGCGATAATTTTGAGGTACCCGTTTTTATTCGAAAAGCTGAAGTAGAAATTGGGAATAGTTCATCGGTAGTGAAGAAAGCGAAAGAATCCGCCAATTTGCAGAGAAATATGGCTCCCAAAAGTAAGGAAAATAGAGGTTGGACGCGACTGCCATGACGGAAATAACATGGAAGGGGTATTCGGACGAGATTTCAGTTATTGCAATTACGCAAAGAGCTGACTACATCAAGCCAGAACGATACAGAACTCTCTTTCACTGTCGCTATTGTTCATGACAGGTTGTTTGAACTTTCTAAATGGATTCCCTTGTGATCGGTGCAGCCTCCACAGTGCCGGTGAAACTCGTCCGAGACTTTATAACTCCCTAACTAGACCGTTTTTCGACATAATAGTGCCAGATACGGTATACGTGGGGCCTCAAATTCATCCTGTGGGGGCATCTCAGAAACCATTTTTATCGTAAACTGTGCCTTTAACTTACTTCGGTCCTCAATCTGTATTTATCATCCGTTATTCAGTTATACATTTCTTCTTCGGTTCCTGTTATGTTGTAAGGATCCATGTTCAACAAGCTGATTTGCAGTTCAACATCCTGGAATGCCGAAAAGTTCCATATCCGTATCATACTCGAATCCACAAGGGGTTTACTACCCCGGTACAAATGTGGAGGGCGTTGTCCATCTCGAACTCACGGAATCGATTAAAGTAAGTTTTTTGCACATGTAATCTCTTCGAATAAGATTTTTTCCGTCACTCTTTGGTATATGTTGATAATGGAAGGCTAGTGTCAGCCGATTCTTTTCAAATACGCCTCCTACTGGCTCAACAGCCAGTGTACCGACGCTTTTTTTGGATATACTTATTCAGAAAAACAGCTTTTCAAAAGTAGTGATTGTTTTATTTTCTTGGCTTTGCAATATCATATTTTCAATATTATGTTTCCTAGGCCAGATCGCTTCGAATAACAGTCGATGGAAGAGCCCACACTTATTGGAAGGTAACTCGATCGAGGACAGTGAGGTAAGTTTCTGATACTATTAAATGGAAAATGTTATTCATTTATAAAGTATTTGTTCATTTGTTCAACTAAGGGCATTGGGACTATTCGGCGTTAATCAGTTTCTTTTTTGATAGGCACCATTCAGCTCCCTTCTAGAATCCAGGTTTTCATCGAGTCCGTCTTCAGATCCTGGAAATGTCGTTCCCAGAGTTATAAATGGGGAAGGTGGTCGTAGTGGTGGAAATTCTTTTCTCATAGGCTGCTTTTAGTCCGCGATTTGGCCCACAAGCGCGCTAGCAAGCGACCAGGAGGCTACTCGTCCGGCGCTTGCCCCTTGTTTAAAACTGAATCTTGGTCGTTACTGCCGGACGAGTGATCCCGCAGTCGCTCGCCCGCGCACTCGCGAGTCAAATCGCGAACTACAAAGCAGCCATATCTTGCTTGATAGTATTTACCTAGCCTTTGAAACACGAATCAAATCCCGTTCAATTAAATAATTCTTACCATACATTAGTACTTCCCCGACCCTATTAGGTTTTGACTGCAATTATATCAAACTAATCTTGAACGAGTAAGAGTAAAAACAGATAGCGAACTTTATAACGGGCAAGTATGCATTCACAACACTTTTGCAAAGTCGAATTCGTAATGCATCCCACATACATAATAGTTAATGAATTTCAAGTAAATACTTTTTTCATGGTTATCTGTCTTTTAATAAAATCGTCTGAACCATGTTCTTTTAGGAACACTGATGGGTAAGCGGTTTTCGACAGTTTCGATCTCATAGTATTGTATGTGCTCCAGCAAACGGTAACAACTGTAAGATTACCTAAACTCATTTTCATAAGTTGTTTACCTATATACCTTTCATTTTTTCTTCATATCTTACTGTCCTTTTTCTTCGCTTTCTGTTTTTCCCGTCTATCGGTGAACGTGGAGATTGTGCTTTATTAATGGTTATTTCGTTTTTCTTTCTTCCTTCTTTTTTGCACAGTTTGTATACTTTCCCTTTTATATTCCTTATTGTTTAGTGCTGACGAGCGTTTCCTCTGAAGAAAGAAGCGCTTATTTTTAATACCAAGTCTTCTTTTAAGTTGCGGAGGTCACATTTTCGCTCGCACGAGGTCTGCATTGAGCAAAGAGAAAACTGGTGGCAAAGGAGGAGAAGTTGGCATTTGCACGAGAAATGCACCCGCACTTTTTGCTCGAATGCAGTCCTATCAGGGCAGTCGACTCAGGGTTTGGTCACTGCACTCTGTCACGCTGTGATGCTTAGTCTACTTCGTATGCCAGAGCTGGGGGAAAAGATGGAAGTGGATTTTGTGCACCTTCCAACTTTCCATGGATACTTTCTTTTTGGCTTTTTTATCTGTGGCATATCACCGTCTGCTTCATTGGCATCCCAAGATCGCATACTACTCGTTATCAAATTGTGTTGAAGGGTAGATTCTTCACTGGTGATAGAATCACAGCGATTCTAAAATCGGGTTAAAGTTCAAGTTTCGATGGTTTGTTCCTTTCCCCAATCATAGAGAGGCTGTTTGTTTCTAAGAAACAGGCTGTTTGTTTTTAAGAAACAGGTTTGCGGAGAACGAGTAGACATACTCAGCGTTTCGTCGGAAAGTTGTCCTACTCGATTGAGGGATTTTATATTTGGTTAGCATGCTGCTCTGCGAGACGCTAACTGAGCCAACTTAATAAGACCAGGCCCGAGGTCGAAACTACCTAGGAATCTGAATTATCTCTCAGACGTTTCACGCTGTGAGCGGATGAAGGAATATTCCACCCTCTCACTTCTTGCCCTTGAAGGTCTTCCTGACGCGTGGATTCTCATTCAATGGGAACGGTGACGTCTGAGAAATGCCCTGGGGTTTAACTGCTCTGGTGCAGATTTTATTTGTTACAATATCCACTTTTGGATTTGCTATGTTTGGAATGGAGTCATGGTTTGGAAGCCTTGAACATGTAACTTTGCGAACAATGAGTCAATCGTCGATATCGATCAAAGTTATTGATTTGACTCGCAATGTTGGAAAGTAGCGGAGGGTCGCACCAGTTTTTCTTTTTCTCTTTTTTGAAGATACGCGTAATCACCTCAGTTTGACTGTAGAAGAATTATGGATATTATTTTGTTCGTCGTCTTATAATGAATGTTTAAGCACAGCCCGAACAGAAAACTATACGGAAACCTACTCGGCCAGTGTGATCTATACAGAGGGAACCAGTGTAGCATGGTCTGCACCGAAAGGCAGCAAAGAGGTATCCGTTCTAACCTATCACTAATGACATATGTTATTCGTCCCTTTAGATAAGTTGGATATCCGGATTTCAAGTTTACTTAGCGTTTTGGGATGTCCCTATGCTAGCAAAAAAAAAACCTGGCGCGAATTCTTCTCCTTGCTATTGGTACCTACCAGTACAATACAATTGTAAAATTAGTTATGAGTGCAGATATAGCCTTACAGTACCATTAACCCATGAAGGCGACGGAATGGCGCCACCATGACTGGCACTTGCAGTCTTATTTGTTCCGTCTTGCGCGAGTTTTGCGTCGCAATTTCCTCATTCCGTTCAAACTTGAAAATTGCAACCAAACGTCTTAAGACGTGGTAAAGATTTTGTAAGTAGTAGAAGTAATCTTTCAATATGGGTCTTGAGCACTGAGTAAGCTCTATTCCTGTAGCATGTCATGTTATCTGTCCTACGCGTGTTTCGTTAGGGCAGGAGTGGGTCTTACCTGAGGAAGTATGGGCAGTGAATAGCTTTCATATTAAAGGCACAGTTCACGATAAAAATGGTTTCTGAGATTTCCCCACAGGATGGATTTGAGGCCCATGTGTATACCATATCTGGCACCATTAGGTCACGAAAACGGTCTAGTTAGAAAGTTATAAAAGCTCACAAAGATTGGCCCGTGTGTATCCTCGGACGAGTTTCACCGGCACTGTTGATCACAAGGGGACCCATGTTGGAAGTTCAAACAACTTGTCATGACCCATAACGCAGTTAAAAACAGTTCTGTACAGTTCTGGCTTGATGTAGTCAGCTCTTTGTGCAATGCAATAACTGAAATCTCGTCCGAAAACCCCTCCCATGTTATTTCCGTCATGGCAATCTCGTACAACCTCTATTTTCCCTACTTTTGAGGAGGCATATTTTTCTCGAAATCGGCGAATTCTCTCGCTTTCTTCATTAACGATGAACTATTCCCAATTTATACTTCCGCTTTTCGAATAAAAACGGGTACCTCAATATTATCGTGAACTATGACTTTAATACGGTTGTTTTTGCGGGTGGATTTAGAAAAACAAAAAGCTTGCTTCATTATTTAGAAACTGAATAAAAGTGGTGACCTTACCACTAAGCAGGTTTTCTTTTGCTGCGACCATGCACTCCTCTACAGAAAAGGGGTAGTGACCAGAGGCTCAGTCGCGTATTTGGCCTGAGCCGGTTCAGAAATTATTACGCACTTCTGCGACCATTTAACTTCTTCATCAAATTTATCATTACAATGTTATTTGTGTTTTGAATAATATTATTTACTATTCAGGTACTGAATGCTGGCTCTTACCAGTTCCCGTTCACATTTCATCTACCGCTGGATTGTGCTCCAAGCTTTGAAGGTAGGTAGTTCTGCTACATTCTTATGTTGGCTCGGGATCGGCTGATTATCCACAGTATTTTTTACTTTTTTATCTATTATATGACCATTTTTTATAATTATGTTGTATTGACATACCACTTTATTTATTTATTTTTTATTTCTTTTACTAAATATTTTTTTCGCTGTGCTTTTTTTCTCCTTTATTGAATTGTTGCTGATGGCACGAAGAAGATTGAAAGGATAGGGAGCCTGATTATAAAAGTTTAAATACTGCAAGTATTTTTCGTTTAGGTTTATATGGTTATATCCGCTACATGATCAAGGTTGAACTTGATCGGCCATGGCGATTTAATAAAACTGATAAACGCCTTTTCACTGGTGAGTGCTATGCTTAAAAAATGCAAAATGTAATGTAACGTCTAGTCAAGAATCATATTGTGTCAGGGGTATTACCACAGGTGTTTTNTTTCAGTTATTCCTATGTTCGATCTGAATACGATACCTGATGCAGCAATGCCGATCAAGGAGTGTGTAGTGAAAAATTTGGGAATCGTACTCTTTAGACATGGCAAGGTTTCCGTCCAGGTATGTCCTTTGGCTTTTGTACTTGATTATTGTTGAAGAATTGCCGAATTAATAAGATAGAATTGCGATTGTATCCTTTTAGAAAGCCCTATTTAAAGTGCAGCGAACGCAAGGACTCTGAGGCGTCCTTGCGTTCGCTGCACTTAAAGTGGGTAATCTTGTACAGTTGAGGTATTATTCCTCTTGCGGTCCTAACACAATGGTCGTTCAGCACCTGGATGGTGACATTACTCTCTTTAATTTTTGCATGTTGTTGTTTCCTGGCTTCTCTCCACATCTGTACACACGACTGTGTGAAAAGCAATATCCGAAAAAGGAAACGGATGGAAAAGTTTTGGCACTAAGAAGTGCCAAAACTCCTATAAGAAGTTCCGCCCTTATGATGCCTAACAAAATTCACGGATCGAGCAACGGTCCTGTCACGAACGTTTTAGCTCTCCTCGCATAGTGGGAGCAATGGCACTTTTTCCGGCTTCTTTCCGACAGCGCGGAAAATTCGGGAAATAGGGGAGACGGGCAGTAGGATCGGTTTTGTGTAATCGATTCGCCGCACGCGGCTGCCGCGAACTATTCGCTTAGCCATTATTACAGCTCTAGCATTGTTCAAACAGCTCAATCGATATGCGATCATTATTTTAGTCATGATTCTACTGTTAGTTCCTTTGTTCCTGTATTTTTTACCTGCTGCTGCTTTCTGCTATATTCTTTCGCGCACAACGTCCCTCTCGCCGCGACGCGACAATTTCGATCCTACTGCACCACACTGTACCGCCTATTTATTTATGCAATTATATGTATTATTATTATTATGTTAGTGATTTAGCAGAGAATCTCAGGGAAATAAATACGCAAATGTACAAAGGAAGAGTAAATGGGCTTTGATTATATAATTTCGATGTCTTAAGCGTATTACTTCCATTACTGGTGACAGATGAATTGCAATCGAAGAAAACTTTGTTTAGGATTCTTCATTAAAATATTTCTGGATAATCGTGGGAGACTGAGGCTAGTTATTTCAGTGTGAGATACCGAAAACCGGCTTTGTACCAGGGGAAACAATTGTGATAAACGCTTACGTCATCAATGACAGCTCGAAGGATATCGTTAAGGTGAGCGTTCTAATTTGTCAGGTTTATAAATTTACTAACAAAAATGATTTTTATGGTTATTTGATTAATGAATTAGTTATAATCACTGTACTTCATCGTATGGAGGGTGCGGTACTGACGGATCCCCACTCGTTTTCAAGGTTGTGTACGGTGTGGCTTTTAGGATCTTTTAGATAATTTTGTCTTGCCGAAATACTAAGGGAGCCGAATAATTAAATTGTGAAGTAATTCTGAAAACACCCATCATACCTTCGATCTAATGCTCATGAAACTGTTAGGGCAGCCGTCTATGCCACAACTGTCTCAGCCGGGATAATCCTACTGTATATAGCGCCAAAAGGGCCTGTTGGTTTGTTGGTGTGTTGCTGTATGTGCATGCTTTGTGTGTGTATGTATGTATGTGTGTGNTGTGTGTGCCGGCATGTGTGTTTAACCGGAAGTTCATAACTCCTGTTCCCTTGTACCTAGAGATTTCAAATTCGGAATGCGGTGCAGGCGGTAGACTTTTTAAAAGCAAAGAAAGAGAGCCGGGCTTGACCCGGGCGATCCGGCTGGTAGGTGATTGAAATGTTGTATTATAAAGCTAAACATTCTATTTTCTCTCTATTGTTGCATATAACACCAGAATTTTTGCTTTTTTTTTTAAGTTTCGTAGATTTTCAGGCAAGTACCAAATTGGTGGAGATATCAAAATACGTTGCCTTTCGCCACGGTTCTACCTTAAATCATGGATATTTCATTGTGAATCAAAACATGGATAATTCTCGTGAACAACAACGAAAGCTTGCCACAGGAGAGCAGGTATGGAGGACTGCCTCTTTATAATGACAAATTCTAAAGAGAACATCGAAAAATGACGAGAAGAAGAAAATTAACACAATGAGGTTCGTTAGAAGCCGATAAATACAGACAAAACTGGCTATTTAACCAAATGCGATCGAATTGGGATTCGAGGCAACTATCTACTCCAAATAAGGGAAGGAGAGTCACGTGGTTTGCAACTGAATGACTTTTTTAAACTACCTTTTTTTCTCTCTCTCTCCTTCACTCTTTCTCTTTCCCTCTCCCTCTCTCTAAGTGGGTTTCCTTCTCCTCAGTTGCCATTGTTGCCTTATCCCATCCATTCGCTTCAATTTCTATCTGAATAGTATATACGATGCATTACTTCATTGGAGTTCCGTTGGGTCAACTATCAAGTCGATATTCTTGACTTTTCTTTTGATTTGTTTCATGGTTGCTCCGTTTTCTGGCGATTCACCTCAGCTATTCCATCTTACATTGGCGTATGAAGTCGATTGGAAGAAGACTAAAGAGGCTTTAGTAAGCTTTATCTTTCTGGTCCCTTGAGTCACGCAGTGATGGCAGTTTGTGCGTGTTCGCGATTTTTTATTCCTTCAAAGGCTTTTCTTCATCCAATCAATTCAGGCGGTGGGGGATGCATTTTTGGGAAACGTGCAGTAGGATCGCGTTTGTGTGATCGATTCGCGGCTGTCGCGAACCATTTTCCTCGCCATATTACAGCTCTAGCGTTCTTCATACAGCTCCGTCAATATGCGATCATTATTTTAGGCATGATTCTATTGTTAGTTCTCTTTATTCCTGTATTTCCTACCTGCACTCTGTTATATTCCATCGCGCGCGACATCGCTATCGCCGCCACGCGATAATTTTCATCCTACTGCACCACACACTTTATTTCCAGTTGTGGAATGACATAAACAGTGAAAGAGTTCAAGTGTCATTCAAAAGTTTCGCTTTGATTATTTCAAGCTTTCAGGATGTCTGCATAGAGAAGAAGGGCCGTGGCAACGTACAGTTATATCTACAGGTCCCCCCTACAGTGCCTACATTCAATTGTTGTCCGATTGTTAGTGTTGAATACATAGTCAAGGTAATTCCTTGAAAATATAGTTGTGACTGGCACTCCTGTGTCATGTCCCATTATTACTTTTTACTTGAGAATAATTCTTCGGGCATTCACGTGGCTCAGGTGTCTATCTGATTATCAAGTAGTTCAGGTGAAATTCAAGACCTTAGCCTCATTCAAAGGAAATGTGGGGACTCACTGTAATATAATAGTGGGTACGATCCCAGTCAGAAGTCCACATGTTCCGCCTCAACCTTCTGCGCCACCTTCTGCACCACAAGCAGATATGCCGCTACCGTCATCGAGCGGCCCTTCGGCCCCACCCTTGGAAACACCTCCACCCGCTTATCCTGTACTTAACGGAGACAGTGGTAAGCTTTCGTGTTCTCGACACCCTCGTTTGCTCAAATTCTGGCTGTGTTCCTGCATATTGGATTCGAATTTCAGTGAATGGACCTCCTCCGCCAAGCTACGAAGAAGCAGTTCAGGGGACAGGAGGCACCACTATGGACACCGATGACATGGAGGTTCACCTCGGTCTTTTATGTTGTGTAGTAGTATTGAACCGTTTTCTGACTTTCATTACTTTAGCCTTTCGTCCCTCGTTACCCATTCTATCCGCAATTGACGGATATCGCTTCGGAGAAGAGAAGAATCGATGACACTTGCACAGCTTAAAGTCGTCGAATGAACGCCATCAATCAATTTTTTACTGTTCAACCCATGGCTTGTCAATATGTAAGCGTAATTTTGCATTTCTTCATGCTTGCTGAGATGTCTTTCTCGAAAGAGGTCTGTAAAGATAGCCCAGGGGCACTAACTCTTTAATATTTAGAAACGGGTCGAGATTGGGCGTGGTTTGCCATACATAGTTCTTATGAAATATGTCTGCTTGTACAGTTTATTCGTCCATTCCGTTGGTCATTCTCATCATCACTATGTTCCTTCATCTTATTTTTTCCGTGTGTGTACATATAAATAGCTATATTTTCTTTTTGCTTGAAGCTACTTAACTTCAAAGGCAATCTTTTCTCAAGTGCTGTAACTACAACTCTAATTCTACATGGCCCTGCTCTACTGCATGATTGTATGGGCGTTGTAGGCGGAGTTATCTCGAAGAGGTGGAGCTTCTACAACTAGACATTAAAAATTCAGACGTTTTGATGAACCATTCCGAAATTTTCATCGCTGGAAAATCGAGCACTCCCCCTTGGTTCGCTGTTACCTATAAGTTTCATATATTCTTCGTGACTGTTGGTTATGAAACCACGTTATAAAATTACTTTCAAATTTGGAATTATTTTGAAGAATTAATGTTTATGTGCATTTGACATTTGAAAGTTGAAGATTAAAGAATGTGATTCGGTGTTGATATATGTATGCCTTTCCTTGTAATGGCAAGATGTTATTGACTATTTCTATGCGTGTTTCGATACTTTCGTGATAGTGTGGTGAAGAAAAGAGTTCTTCAACCATCTGTTTTGAAAGTTTCAGACGGCTTTGTCCTCATGAGCCGCTTCACAACCGTAGTCACCATAACAACATCATGGTGAAAATCATGGTGGACTGTGGAGTAAGTGAATGACTGTATTGCTGAATCTGTTGATGTACGAATTTGGTGGTGCCCTTTTTGTTTCTCTTTGTTTACAACTATCGATCTATTCAATTGCATTAGTGAAGGAACTGTTCAACTTATTTAGTGAAAGTGTGTGTTTTTTGTTTTTCTTGTTTTTTTAAAGTTGAAGTTGTTTTTTGTTTTGAAGATCTTCTAGAGCTGACGAAGCATTCTTATAATTCCCCTCCTATTCGGCCAGGGCCTCAGTCCCGATTTTCTCTTGATCGCATATGTGTACTTGTAATCTTTTTTTTCTATTTATTTCACGTACTTGGGTATTTATGGTCATTCATTTCGCTACAACCATCCATACATCCGCCCATATGCGTTTATCGTCATTCCACCAAATCACATTGGATCGACACTCATTTTGTGTGACTGTAGGCAAGTTGTTTCCGGTAAGCATTCGTTCATAACCTATGTTTTCCATAGGTAACTACTTTTACATGTGATGTCGCTCAATTGAGAGTTTTCTCCGTTTTTTTTTCTAACAGAGAAATAAATGCTCAAA